TATTATTATTATTATTAGAGTTTAACTAAATTATAATAATTTTTAAAATAATGGGGAGAATGATTTTGTTTTTGTTAGTGGATTTCAATCATTAAAAAAACTTAAAATCAATAATAATTCATTAATTAGGTCATCACCTTCGGTAATAAATAAATAAATAAATAAAAGGCATCACTAATGTCTTTGTTTATATTATTTTCCACATTTCATGAATCTTTAAACGATAATTGATTAATGGAATAAATTAAAATTTGGTCACATTTAAAATGTATTGCTTCCCCAATTTTTTAAACTTTATTATAAGGTGAAAAATGATTTCAATTTTTACTCTTCTTATAAATAATTATTCTTTCTTTTTTTTTTTTTCATGTTAAATCTAAAAATTTAAAAATAGGGATAAAAATAGGAATATTTTAAAAGTAAAATAAATAAATATGGGTGAAAAACTATACTTAAACCTTTGTATTTATTTAGAATTTATTTTTAGTTCATACAAAATTTTATTTTGTATATTAATTATATAAATAAACGCGTTTTAAAGCTCTGAGGAGAAGTCCAGAGGGGAAAACTCAAAGAAGACAATATATGCTAATGGTGGATCTTGGTCGTTACAAATGGTATCAGAGCCAGACACTAGACGATGTATCAGCTTTCTCGCTGTTTTTCGAAGGGGGTAGACACGAGGCGGTATGCCAGTAAGGACGCTGGCTCCCAAACGGGGTGGATTTGGTGGCGGTCCCACATCGATTGGAGGAAGGAAAGAGTGTCACCGAGGACGCTGAGATTTTTAAGGGTATGAAAACCTTTCTCTAGCAGATGCGTGGATCTGGGCCGTTACAAATAATATCAGAGCTAGACACCGGACGATGTGCCAGCTTTCTCGCTATTTTTCGAAGGGGGTAGACATGAGGCGGTATGCCAGTAAGGACGCTGACTCCCGAACAGGGGTGGATTTGATAGCGCTCCCACATCGATTGGAGGAAGGAAAGAGTGCCAGCCAGAACACTGGATTTTTAAGGGTGTGGAAACCTTCTCCTAACATAGGCGTTTTAAAGTCTTGAGAAGAAGCGGAAACCGAAAGTCAAAGAGAACAATATCTGACAGCTGTGGATCTAAGTCCTTACAAATATATATATTAATTAGATAAATGGTTTGAATTCTGAAAGGAAATAAATAAAAAAATGAAAAATGTTCAATGAGTTTGAGAAGACTATAATTCCAGTCTTCGCCTCAGAGATGATTTCGAAATCGTTGCGGAGAGAGAATTGAAAAGTTTGAGGTCTGAATGCCGTAATCTGTTAGAGCCATATTATCAGATTACAAGATTGAGAGTTTTTTTGTGCGTTTTTCACACCAATTGTCAGCGATTACGAGAGTGGATTTTTCTTTTTGGTTCCATTGACAGAGAAATTCAAGCTCCAGTTATGGAAGAGTGCGCAATCCAATGATAAGCGACGTATAGAGGCTTTTCCTTTTCTTTCCTGCTCGCTTTTCGCCGATTCCCTAAGATTTTGGTCTTCCTGTTTGATTTGCGGACGAGAATTGCTGAAGTTTTTGTTTCGTTGATTGAACGCAATAAAAGTGTTAAGAATGGGAAATTGTTTACATTCTTCAACTCCTCGTGCTAATTCCATTAGCAGCCAGGCGCTATCTTCTACTCCAGGTACTAATTTCAAACGATTATCTTCGAAGTTACTTTTAGAATGCATTTCAGATTCACTTTCTGCTCTGAGCTGTGATTCTTTTTGTTTCTACCGTTGATTTGATTGTATCTTGTGCCATTTCATAGGGACATCGAGCAATCACAGCAAGAGCGTAGGGTTTTCAGGTACCAATAGCACCGCCGGCGCAAGTCTATTTTCAGAGGCGGCGAGCGTGGATGTGAATGAGCGCTATCCGAACGGGAAAATCCTTGACCAACCAAACTTGAAGGAGTTCAGCTTCGCTGAGCTGAAACTCGTTACCAAAAACTTCAGACCTGAATCCTTGATCGGTCAGGGAGGTTTTGGGAAGGTGTATAAGGGCTGGGTTGATGAGAAGACGCTGGCTCCTTCTAAGAGCAATTCTGGAATGGTGATTGCCATTAAGAAATTAAACACAGAAAGTGTCCAAGGTTTTCAGGAGTGGCAGGTAAAAATTTAGCTCATTCTTGGATCATCTACTATACTTTATTGAGTATTCTTTGGTCAATAGAAATAATTAGTTGCCGTTCTTGCTTTATATGGAACTCTTAGCTACTGAACAAAAGTAGATGAACATTATTATTATTATTATTTGTTCTGAACAGAACTACGAAGATCCATCTACAAACTTAGAATTAGCCTAAATACTGCAAGGATTAAAGGGCTTTTCATTTTCACGTTCATTGACTGTTTGAGATTATATTAATTGGTATCAATTGAACTGGTGAAATATGTCCATCAATCATTTGACGTTAAGTTATGTGTGCCAGGGAATGTAGCCTTTGTTCTGTCATACTTGGCATGCCATTTTTTTGCTCGAACTTTTTTAAATTTCAATTTTTACATACCTTGTTTGACACAGATTAAATTGGAAATTTGTAGTTACATGTTTCTACTCATGAAGCCCAAAAAAACATAAAACTAGAACCTGTAAGAACTGGCGCATTTTTTTTACCTGTAAATGCTATTAGGACTTGGGAGCTCTGCTGGTGTATGTAGATGGTTTTGCAAATTTATCGATTTGATCGGAGTCTACTGTGCAAGGTCGAATAATGTCCAACTCTTCATTTGATATAATGCAGGCTGAAGTGAACTTTTTAGGACGGTTGAATCATCCAAATCTTGTCAAATTATTGGGTTTCTGCTGGGATGATGAAGAATTGCTTCTTGCATATGAATTCATGCCCAGGGGAAGCTTGGAAAACCATCTCTTTGGAAGTATGATTTCCTTAAACAAAGGATAAGTTTAAATTGATTCTTCATAACCTGTACTGATCTTTGGTTTTTGTGATGAACAGGGCGTTCTTCCATAGAACCCCTTTCTTGGGAAAGAAGGCTCAAGATTGCCATTGGCGCAGCTAGAGGCTTGGCTTTCCTGCATTCCGCAGAAAAAGAAGTTATATACAGAGATTTTAAAGCGTCAAACATTCTTCTAGATATGGTTTGCCCAATTTTCTGCAGTCTATTTTTAGCTAATTTCAATATTTTTAGCTGGTAATTTTATGTTATCCATCATATCTTTCATTATTAGATATGTTTATATACTCATGGATAATGTTAACACACTGTTGAACTTCTTGGTCCATCCTGTTTTCCTGTCTCATTTCATCTTTCTCTTACCATTCTATCTAAATTTTCCCTTTTATATTCACGTGTAGAATTACAACTCGAAAATCTCGGATTTCGGCTTGGCAAGATTGGGGCCTGCAGGTGAAAAATCACATGTAACAACAAGAATTATGGGCACGTATGGTTACGTTGCCCCGGAATACGTTAGTACAGGTATAATATCTGTCATTGTTGAGTTACGTATTCCAAATAGCTTGCCTATTCGATTTTCTTGCAAATGCATAGAGGAGAAGTAGAAACAATGACAATTTGGAGGAGTATGTTGATGATTATTGAGAGAAGTAGTCCCACGTTGGCTAATTAAGAGGAAGATCATGGGTTTATAAGTAAGGAATACTATCTCCATTGGTACGAGGCATTTTGGGGAAACCAAAAGCAAAATCATGAAAGCTTATGCTCAAAGTAGACAATATCATACCATTGTGGAGAGTCGGGATTCCTAATAGAGTATATTGGTGATGTAGGACATATATAATTTGATTTCACAAGTTCTCTAATCAATCTTATTGCGTCAACATTGAAAATCATGTTCATTGCTAAACTACTACCAACGATCTTTGCCATTACTGATCCTACACAGGTCATCTATACGTGAAGAGCGACGTTTATGGGTTTGGTGTGGTGCTGCTCGAGATTATGACAGGCTTGCGAGCACATGATCCGAATAGGAGCTACGAACAGCGCAATCTGGTCGAATGGGCCAAGCCACGCTTGGAGAAGAAAAAAAAGATCAAAAGATTAATGGACGCAAGAATAGAAGGTCAATATTCATTGAGAGCAGCCGCTCTAGTGGGAGATCTTACTCTAAAATGCCTGGAAACAGATCCTAGAAAGCGCCCCTCCATGCAAGAAGTTCTTGAGGCATTGGAACAGGTCGAAGAATCGAGGGAAAAACCAAAAGAGTCGAAAACTAGCGACGCGCAGCCTAAACAACTTCATCAAAAAACAGGCAAACAATTCATCAGCTAAATGAGGCCATAAGGTGAGAAAAACTGAACATGATCATTCAACATTGTATACATTTGAGATTGTGATAGAAAAACTGAACATTTTTTTGTTGGCCTTCGTTCATTGGTTGCCCTTCTGTAGGGGATGGCAGGAGGTGAGGTCGGAATATATTTGATTGTATGTATTATGAGTTAAATGTTTGAAGTTTATATAGAAGAAAAGCTTATTTGGAATCTGGATTTCCTCCAAATTTTGCTCTCATCTTTCAGATTTTTTCTTAAAAAATTTGTTGCCAGAAATTTGTTGTGCGGTGTGAGATCCCAACAGAAACGTTTTAAAATTGTGAGACTGACGACGATATGTAACGAGCAAAAACGTACAATATCTATTAGTGGTGGGCTTATGCAGTTACGAATGGTTTCAGAGCCGAAACACTAGATGGTGTGTGTGTGCCAACAAGAATGTTGAGCCCCCAAGAAGGGTGGATTGTAAGATCACGCATAAGTTAGAAAGGGGACCGAAGTATTCGTTATAAAGGTGTGGAAACCTCCCCCCCTCATAGACACGTTTTTAAACTGTGAGGCCGACGTTTTAATATGATTTAATTACAAAGGGGACCGAAGTATTCGTTATAAAGGTGTGGAAACCTCTCTCCCCTCATAGGCGCGTTTTTAAACCGTGAGGCCGACGTTTTAATATGATTTAATTACGCGTTTTAGAAGTAAAACAAAGGTGAAGGATCGGTGAAAATGGGGTTTGGATTCCACACGTCTCCCACCTTGACCTTAAAATCTTAGCACCAATAAGACCCAAGTCAAGTCCACTAACCTTCCAACCACTACTTTTGTCGGCTCTCCCCTTAATTTAACTCATGCCCCAAAGCATTCATCTTTCACCCGCCATAATCAACACCATGGCGCCACCGCCACCACCACCCTCTCTCATTCTCTCTTCCCTTTTCACTCTAATTCTCTCCTCCCTCTTATCTTCGCCGGCGCTGGCCGAGCCCAACGCCGCCCACCATCCCCACCGCCACCTCCGGTCACTCCACTTCTCCCTCTTCCAGCACGAAACAATCAACAAAACCGGCTACTTCATCGTGCCGGGGGTGGCTGGCCCAGGAGTGAGCCAAACCACCACCCCATTTGGCACCATGTTTGTATTTCACGACCCTTTGACCACAGCGCCCGACCGAGCATCGAAGCTGGTCGGCACGTCGGAGGGAACCTCCATAACCTCTAGCCTCGATGGCTTGCGAAGCCTTAGCATAGCGAAGATCAGCTTGCGTTTGAGGAACCATACCGGTTCGCTCTCCATCGTGGGTGGGACCCATAATGTTAAACCGTCGAACCACCCCATTGTCGGAGGGACCGGAGATTTCTTGTTCGTACAAGGCTACGTGACGTCATCTCCGGTGGATCTGATCGGAATCACGGTGGTTTACAAGTTGGAATTTCATATTTACTGGCCGCCCTACGCATAATTTACTCTACTTTATACAAATTTCAGGTTTATTTTTAAATTCTCAGTAACTTTACTTTTATGAATATTTGTGTAATAAAAGCTCAATTTAGCATCTCCCATTTTCTCTCCTAAATATTAATATTCTTAATATAAGTAAAAAAGAACATATATATAAAGTAAAGTTTAAATTAATATTAAATATAAAAGAAAAAAATAAAATAAAATTTGAAAGGTTGAAATTTGTATTTAGTATAAGATATATTAAATAAAAAGAGGAAAATAAATTTATTGTATTGAAAAAAAAATTAAAACTAAGGGTTTAAGTCGATAAGAAAAAAAAATCACAAATAGCCTCGTGATTTTATCTCTATTGAGAAGAGCCATGTCACACTTAAAAGACGCTCATGAGACGGGGTGGGATGGAGAAGTCTTTCCCGTTCTTATCTCTATGAAAATTTTCATTTATTTTTGCAGTGATTAGAACACGGATTCTCACAGAGAACTAGTAGGGATTGAGTTTCGTACCGATTTTTTTTTTCCATTTATTATTTTTTGAAAAATAGTCATTTTAAATATATACCTTTCTAATTTTGAATATAAACTTTTAATTATTTATTGATGAAATTATTTCACCTACAATAATAAATAAAATATAAAATTAAGCTATGTCTAAAGACAAAATTTGATAAGAAAAACACGGTCAATCATCGTTGTATTATTGTTTTCCACATTCGATCGGTAATTTTTTTATTTAATTTTAATTCCAACGAATATTATTCAAGGATTCGTAAAAAAAATTAGTTGTTAAACTTTAATGCGCAATTCTTAACCTAGCAATGCCAAATCTAAATTGTAAATTCGATCGAATGAATATTTGAAATACGGATGAGTATTAATTAAGTTGCCTTATTAAAAACACAAATCGACTACTATATAAGAAGAGACGAGCCGATATTAATATTCGCCACTCACAAAAACATATACCCGAAGAATTAAGAGTCGAGAGTGGCCCTCGTCTTCATTTTATTGAAGTTTTGATTTAGAAGACGAAGAAACTATTATCAACTGATAAAGCTCGTCAACTATAGGTTAGTTGTCCTTTATTTCTTTTTCTTTTCTTAATTTTTAATATTTAACTCAAAATTATTTTTTCTCGATAATATGAAATATATTTTCATGAATAATTTTTTTTCTCATTTCTTTTTGTCACTGATAGAGATGCTTACGAGGCAGAGATGAGAAAGTCTTTCTCCTCCCGTCTCCACCTCTTATTTCAATTCTCATCTCTGCCAAATTTCTTATTACATTTTTTTTATATATATTATTATTAAAAAATATTATAAAAAAAATACTAATTTCAAATAATTTTTTAATGGGATGTAAAATAAATATAATAATATTTAATTAGCAAAAATATAATATATTGTCAAATATAATTTTTAACCCTCACATTTTAATATTAAAATATATATATATATATATATTTTATTTGAGAGATGTTTACATGTAGATTTTTCACTATGTTCAGAGCCAACCATACAGATAAATGGACATCTCTAATCTCCACACGAGTTCATACCTTGATTAACTTTTTTAATTAAATAGAAAATTATTGTTCCATACTTTTTATATATATATATATATATATTTTTTTTTTTGTGTTTAAAATGAATGAATGAATTAATTAATTAAAATTTTGGAAATGCAGGGATCCTGGAGATGCATGCATGATGTAACCGTTTGGGCATAATTTCTTCAAAATTTGAAATTGGATGAATTTACAAAGATGTGTTAATGCTGGATATTATTACACGCCCGCTCCGCCGCTTCTCACTCATCGTTGTCACTCTCCGGCGGCTGCTCCACGTTGAGATCGAACCCCACGCCGCCGCTCTTCTCAGGCGACTCACTCTCCTCAGCAGCGGAGGGCTGGTTGAGATCAATATCCAACCCTCTTCTCGACGCCGCCACTCCCTGAGCCACCGTCAGCAAAGTGGAAGCGAACTGCTGCTGACAGTGGCGGATATCGAGCTCTGCGGCGGTTGGCGGCGGAAGAGCCCCACGGTATGTCCGTTCCGGGTGAGACCTCAAGTGTCCAAAAAGTGCTTTCCATGATTTGAACACTTTATTACAAGTCGCACATTTTGGGTCACCTTTTGGGACCTCCGTTAGCTCTCCCTTCTTCTTTGCAGCCTTCACTTGCTGCTGCTGCTCTCCTCCGTCTCCTCGTCCTCTCTTCTTCCCTACCTCCGTGTTCGAACCGCCTCCCACATGACCATGTGTCGACGACGACGACGTTCCCACGTCGCCTGTTGTAGCTCTTTCTGGGGCGGGCGCTACAGACGAGAGGTTGATGACGGGAGGTGTAGGGTTATTGTCGTCGATGCTAGCGGGTGGTGGAGAAACCGCCATTGGAGACGTTTCTCGGCCGTGGCGTTGGTCGGGAGAGGTCGACTCTGGGATGGTATTGATATCGGCATCGACATTGATATTGGGATTGGCATTGGCATTGGTGTTCTTCTCCATTGCAAGAGAGAAAAGGAAGGAAATGAAAGAATTGAGAATGGAGCAAAAGGGATGAATATGCAATAAGAAGATAGCTATTGGTGGATGATGGCTGTCTTAGAGTTATGTCTCTATTTGTCTTAGAGTTATGTCTCTATTTATAATCAAATTTTAGACATTATGTAAAACAAGTACGAGGTAAATCCAACATGTTTGGAGTTCCATCATAATCTTTTTTTTTTTTTTTAATTTAACGGAACTTTGATTAGATTAATTGAGAGAGATACCGAAACGATATGTTTTTCTGGTTATTGTGATTATATTCGTTCCGAGTTATAATCTTTCATTTTTAGATTTTTAATTTCGTTAAATTCATCTTGATTTAATTAAGTCGTGTTAGCGATAAAAATATTTGAATTGGATGAGGATATATTTAAGTAATTAATAGCATAAATATTTGAATTTTGTATTTTAATGGTAATGAAGTAATTAAATTTATTTTGACCAAAAATGTATTTTGGTATTATTTAGGTTACTATAAAAGGCTATGTGCATATACATAATTTGTCAAATGTTAGTTATAAAGTCCTTTTTCGGAATTTTAAAATTATTTTGGGCTATTTTAGGGGGGAAAATGCTTGGAATTTGCTGTCTAAATTATTGTTCCTTATCCTATTCCTCTGTTTTGCAATATTTAAATAATTAAAACTTACCCCAAAAACATTATTATGAAAATTTATTTTTTAAAAAATGAAAATATAAAAACAAAATAATTTAAGGTATAACTTAATATTTAGCTCATAAAAAATATTTTCTCTTGGAAGATTATTCAAAAATAAATTTAAAATTTAATCGTTCCCTAAAACAATTTTGATCTAATGTGTTAGCTTCCAAGTGACAAAATATGTATGATGTCAAATTACAAACCGTATCTTTTAAAATACAATTTTGATCTACTGTGCTAGTTCGAACAAATATCAAATATGTATGATGCCAAATTACCAACAGTATCTTTCTAATTTTTTTTTTTATTCTCTAAAATTAATTTTTATTAAAAATAGTTAAATAATAATCCTAATAATTTCTATGCAAGGTAAAGCACTAGGTGAATATATTTTCACAATTTAAATGTTAATAGAGATTATTTTTATAAAAAAAGAAAAAAAAAATCATCAGAAGTCTCAAAGATTGTAAGTTTTGAACTTAATGTAATTCCCTCTCACACATGTTAAAAAGAAAATCAATAGGGGGCTAACAAGGTAAGGAACAAGGTTTTTGCTGTTTTTGGTAATGGGGAGAAATTTTTCTTTATTACTATTCCTTGTTGCTACTATAAACCTTCGGCCTAACTTAAGCACAACATGGTGAAGATTATTGGGAGAAGAGTCCCACATTGACTAATTAAAGGGTTGATCGTAGGTTTATAAGCAAGGAATACGTCTTCATTGGTACGAGATTTTTTGGGAAAACCAAAAGAAAAGTCATAGAGAACTTATGCTCAAAGTGGATAATAGTATAGAGAGCTTATGCTCAAAGTGGATGATATCATACTATTGTGGAGGTTCGTGATTCCTAACACAACATCCATTCAGTGCTCACCTCCCGTTGCTGCAGACCGTTCCTCGTTCCATTTGAACCATTTTTGTCCTATACTTACTCCCTTAGCTGCTTGTGCAATGCCTCCATGTTCACAAGTTGGTACCGTCGTTGGTTGTCCATGGCGCCCATTTAACAGCTCAAACTTGTCAATTATTGGTCACTTCCTCCTCCTCCAACCCTCCAAAAAAGAGGGGGAAATTAAGAAAAAATATATAAAAATTTGTGGCTCGAAAATTACGAATATGGAAACAAAGAAATATGCTTTAGTTCACCAATGATGGAGCACTCTGAAGGTAACAAAGAGTCCCTCATCAAAACTTTCTTTATAAGGGGTGGAAACTTCTATCTGGTAGACGCATTTTAAAACCTTAAGAGAGCTAAAAAAAAAAAATCCAAAGAGAACAATATTTGCTAGCGGTAAACTTGAATAATTATCAAAGAAAAACTTTTTAGTGCAAGATGTAAATGAAAATACACATATAACACTAACAATCGACAAAACGATGTCTTAGGTCTATTTAGCACCAAAGAAGTCAACACTACATGATGGAAGTAATTTCTTCAACGGTAGTCACTAATTCTTTTGTTGAAAAATATCTGTGATTCTAGATGGCTAGTCCCCGCTTCAACTAATCTTATGGGACCTATCTGATCCTACAACATTTAGGTGCCGAGAGAAAATAATTACGTGCTAGATCTTTATTTGATCTGTTCTTTACCATTCCCTCCAAGCTCTTTATTGTATCAATAACTATCATTGGCCACTAGACCAATCCAAGATGGTTTTTATCACAAAAAATATATACATATATATACATGCCCAAGCCCACCACTAGTAGATATTATTGTTCTCTTTCGACTTTCCCTTTTGAGCTTCCCCTCAAGATTTTTAAAACGCATCTACTAGGATGAGATTTCCACACCCTTATAAAGAATATTTCGTTCCCTCTTCAACTAACGTGGGATCTCACAATCCACCCCCTGCGGGGCCCAGCGTCCTTACTGACACTCGTTCCCCTCTCCAATCGATGTGGGATCTCACACATACCCAGATATCCAAATACCAAGGAGCTGATTAGATACCCTTAGTTCGTCTTGGATTAAAAAACTATGTATATATAAGAAAAAGATTGTATGATGTGTGTGTAGTTAGAATATGAAGTATTGCCCCTCCCCATGAAAATCTGACTCTGACCCCGCAGATACAAGCACTAGCAAGGTCTTAAAGCATGGTAAGCGATTTTCACAATATAATGTAACTGAGGGATGATGAAACTGTTACCAGTAGTACCAACATCTTCCATATCATCATCAATTCCAAGACACAAGCATTTGCAACCCTGTGACGAACAGAATAAAAGTTAATTACTTTGAAGGACAACAAAATATGAGGCATATATTTCTCCATTACTAAATAGCTGTAAACCTCTGTACCTTCATGACTTTACAATATCCATTTGCCCTCCCACATGCTTTGGTTATGATCTCCACCACCGATACATCTGAAATCGAAGCAAATGCCTGTCCTCAGGAGCCAAACGTTCCACCTTGGGCATCTTGATGAGATCATGAAATTTCAATGTCACTGCATAAAGCTATTGAAATAAGGTTCCCCTATGGATACCTTGTTACGACTTCCCTGGAATCAGAGAAAAAGAGGGGTAGGTTCGGTTGAGCTCGCATAAAAACACCTGAGGTAGTAAATCCAAATTCATTAAGTATTTTCCAGCTTGCTAACATGTCTATTTCCTTCCTTAGAATTCTACTTTTCACCACCTGTCGATAAGATAATCACATCAAGCATGCCATAGGCATATCACCCAAACTTATTGACATAGTTCATCTAAACATCCCTGCAACACTTACAAGAGATGGTCGTGAAAGCCATAGCAGATTCAGCCCTTTCTTGCACCATTTCCATTCGTTGGAAAAGCTCATAAATTTTGGCAAATATCATTGGAGTTACATCCAAAGAGGTTTGTTGGACTAAACATGCCCTTCAGTAAGTTCCACTCGATCAAAGCTAAGTACTCATTGTCTAACCCATCCAATTATAACATCACGATTTAGGCCCACCGCTAGCAGATATTGCTCTCTTTGGACTTTCCCTTACGGACTTCCCCTTAAGGCTTTAAAACGCGTCTGCTAGGGGAAGGTTTCCACACCCTTATAAAGGGCGTTTTGTTCTCATCCCCAACCAATGTGGGACATCACAATCCACCCTCGCTGGCACTCATTCCTTTCACTAATCGATGTGGGATCCCCACCAAATCCACCCCCCTTAGGGGCCAGCGTTCTTACTGGCACACCGCCTCGTGTCTACCCCCTTTAGGGAACAGCTTTCTCGCTAGCACATCGCCCGGTGTCTGGCTCTGATACCATTTGTAACGACCCAAGTCCATCGCTAGCAGATATTGTCCTCTTTGGGCTTTCCCTTACGAACTTTCCCTCAAGGCTTTAAAACGCGTTTGCTAGGGAAAGGTTTCCACACCCTTATAAAGGGTATTTTGTTCTCCTCCCCAACCAATGTGGAACATCATCCTGCAAGCCCAAGCATCTCAAATTTAATTCTGGATTCCAAAATGAAACCACCAAGTAATGGTTCCGCACAACATGACACAGAGAAACAATATACATACTAAACCAGTTTTCTTTTTATCTGGTCGCTCTTATTGTGTCTAGTTAGCCTACTGTTTTGGGCTACTCGTGTGAAATCATCATTATTTAGTTCAATCAATAGGACAGGTAACAAAGTTAAGACTTATTAGTGCCAACAAAAACTTATGGAGGTGAAGGGGTGAAAGCCTGACAAAAGGCCTATGATATGATGATATAGTAAGAAAGAAAGTACGAAAATCAGTATGTTAAGGTTACGAAGTTACTTAGCCGTTTACAATGGGAAAGGCATCCGTGGATATATACTAGGTAGGCCAGTTGGAACGGAGTCTGAAACTATGGACCAAAACTACACTAAGGAACAAGGAAGTTTAAGGATGTAAAATAAACTAAGTTCAGTAACTAAATTTATTCTCTTTGTAAAGAGAATCAATCAACCATAAAGGTCAGTTTTTCTCTAGTAGAAGAAATGTGCTCGGTGATGAATGACTAAGAAACAAACTGTCATGGCAGGCTCTGATTCATAGTGCACGAGTTGGGACTGTTTTAGGAGCAAGATGGATGAATATCTAAGTTCAAGTATTCCGTATACTACCAACCGGATTAACTTACCTTAGCATAGATAGCTATTAATAAAACGCTTTACTTCCTACTTGGGAGAGTAAGCAACCCCATGCCTCAGCGTAGAACAGTAATATATGATGGCTGATTAGAAGACTCCATACCTTCCACCCATCAGCATTCAAGGTATTATGAATAAGCTCTTCCACGACCTTCTGACACCATAGGGAATAACACTAGCACGCACAGAACTACGAACACACCTCGGTAAGGGCTTGAGAATCCCCATCTGGCATTACGGTGCATTAATAAGGAAAAACATCAAATGGGAAACAAGAAGTAGAAGAATAGGAGAAGAATTAGCAGATAAATGGAAAGATCAAGGGTTCATTATTTTCACCAAATCTTAATACATTAATTGCATTTTCTGAAAGGTTCGTTCCAATGGCGAGAGCACTTGGACAAATGATGCAAGATTTCACTACAGAAGCTTGGATTTCTAATCTAAGCCTTCCCGGTCCCCTAATAAGGCAAATCATGGACATAGAAGCGTGTGAAGATAGAACTTCTTCTCGGAGATATGGTAACGCCCGAACCAATTCGATGCTTTTTTTTTCAACATCAATTCATTCAGCAATTTCAGAAGTCCTGATATTCGATTTACTTCACTCATTTCCATAAATTATGAACAGTTCAGCGTACTTTCAAACGGTTTTCAGAAAAAGAGCACACGCGAAAGCAACAGTTACCAAATAACTGCGCATTTACGCAAAACTGAAAGTTAACAAAAATGCCAATGAAGACTATAATCGATTTGCTCTCTTGCTTGTGAAGTTTAGGAAGATTCATGAAAAGCAATGAGTTCTTATCGAAATTAGCCTTAAAAAAAACCCTACACAGAAGACTTTTGTAACTACAATCTTACTCCATTTCAGTCAACATCCCAAAAACTATTCTCACATGTTAGTGCACTATCCACTCTTCTTACCGAGATGGCGCTACCGCCACATTTGCCGACGGTTCGTAGACCTGAACATTAGTAACTCAAAAGCCAATTCCTCTCCGAGACGTCTGTGCTCCGCCGCATGGAATGAAAGAAAAATGGGCGTGCCGAGTGGCGTAATCAGGCATACCGCCGTAAAGCGTATTTTAGAACTTCCCCAATGCAAGGACGGTGCTAGTTAGTACAGACGACATGTCGGTTCGAGAGTTTTTTTTTTTAAGCTGAATTTCCAACTTTACCAAAGTTCTTAAATTTAGAAATTATTATTACAATTTTAGCCTCTAAAACTATCCAATTTAATTTTTTCTAAACCGTTGAATAAAATTCATAATAAATAATATATTGACATTTGAAATAGTAATTAGTAGCTTATTCACGGCGTATCATTAAATGGATGGAAAAGTCAACGCATTGCTTACAAGACCAGGCAGCTAACGTCACCTAATGCAACGACACATCCAAATGTCAATAATAAATGACTTTATACCTAACCGAACCTCATTTTACGTACTTATAACTTCAGTTGAAGCATATGTAGAAACATTACTTAATCATCGTAACAATTTTAAAAATAGGGTAACAATAGATTGAGCGGTGAACCTAGCTCACGAACCAAATCGAAAATTTTAAAATTTTAAGATATTCAACCGAACTTAAAAAAAACTATAGCCCAACCCAACATTTATAATTTGAATTGGCGGTCGGGGGTCTCATGAAAATAATAATAATAATAAATTGATTAAATATAATTAATGATGAAAATGAAATAAAAGTAAAAGGTAAATTAGAAATAAATAAGGTGTTAGCTTGCACGGAATAGAGAGCGAAGGCTCCTGATCAACCAATCCAATTTTCGCGTTTCTATTTATATTATTTTATATTATTTTATATTATTTTTATATTATAATTTTATTGTTAGGCAACGCATATGCATCATATTAAAACATGATCTTCAGTTTTCCTCTGGACCTGAATTTTCTTCTTCTCCTTCTCTTCTTCTTCCTCCTCCTCCTTCCCAAACCCTAATTACACCTTCTTCCTTGTAAATTCCCCGCCTCTACAGTTCCAGAGATCAGGTATTTGCTCTGTTTTTTCATCTCCTTTTACACTCCCTTTCCTTTTCAATTCTCTCAATTACCCTTCTGCTCTTCTCTCTCTCTTTTTCTCCCCCTTCCCTTGAATCCATTGCTGATGCCCTTTTCATGTTATTAGGTTCTTTCTATGTCTCCTGTTTCTTTCTGTTATTGCGGAATTCGACCCGTTCTGTATTCACTGCGTTCTTTGGTTTAATTCTGGTTTCATTTTCTGCATGTTTGTCTCATTTCATTGTGTTGCGATTGCTTTATCTTTATTCTGTTTCACAATTGGATGTCCATGTCGGTTTCTGAGTACTTTTCCCGCGAATTGAAATGCTGTTGATATTCATGCGATGATTCTGCCCATAAAACCTTGTAAAATTGGCAATCCATTTTGTGGGATCTTCCTCTTCTGCCAGATCGTGGCAGCTTTAAATTTTAATTTCTACTTTTGACTACTGAAGAAATGGTTTGATTTGGATGTTATTTTATTGCTTCCGAGTTTTCTGATTGATGTTAAGAGTCTGATGGAATTTGTGATGGAATAGAATTAGAAGCTAATTTTGTATTCTTATGATTGTTTTTCAGCGGAAGTAAATGTTAACTCAGTTTCTTGTTCGTGTGGAGACGACACATTAGCTATTTATGTTTAAAGCTACAACTTGGAAGGAGAAGAATGGAGGCCAACATTTGTGACGTGAATCATCTCGATTCCGATGTTCTTCTACCGCCAAGAAAGCGCCTTCTTGCTGGCTTGAGAAAGCAAGGTGCCGATGGTGATGGTACTTTTAATCTGCCACCAGTTGCCTCCTCCTCTTGTTCTCCTCCTCCCTCTCCTTCCTATGGCTTCACATCTATTGAGTTCAATATGCGGCTTAACAATCTGTTTAGTGCTCATTCAAATACTAACCTATCATCTGAAGAGATAGTGGAGGCCTCAAGATCAGCCGCAGCTGCAGCTGTGAAGGCTGCGGAGGCTGCCAGGGCAGCAGCTGAAGAGAAGGCGGCGATTGCAGCAAGGGCTGTTGCGGCTGCAAAGAGTGCCATGGACTTGGTTGCCACCATTTCTGAAGAAGCAGCCTATAAAGAAATAAACCTGAGAAAGAACAAGCTGAAGAAACATGTCCCAGTTCAGCTTCTATACACAAAATATCAACCTCTTGAGAATACCAAGACAGATGAAGAGTTAGCTCGCAAATTGCATCGAGCCATAAATAGCTCCCCGAGAATTTTGAAGAATTCATCTGGTTCTGATGCTAGAGGCCACAGACATAAGAGGTTCAAAGGTTCACCTGGTTCGGAGAAAACTAAGGTTTCCAACTGTGGCATCTCACAGGAGTTGGACCCTACTCCCAGGTGCAATGGGCATGCTAGAACCAGTGAGGCTGACTCTGAGGGCAGCGTTCAGGAAGTACGCAAGCTCAAAGCTGATGAGAAGAACAATCAGTCCGAGATGGATAATGGAGAAGCAGAGACAAGTCAGAAGGAGAAAACGTGCGACAATATTAGTGTCGCTGTTAAAAAGAGGGGAAGAGTAAAGCTTAGAAAACTGCCCTTGAGTATTTGTTCTTTCAGGGATCAGACAACTCTCAAGGAAGACATGAATGACGGAAGTTCCCCAATGTCGAGTGTGCAAAGCCCGACATCTGAAAATGTTATTTTACATTCTGTAGATAGCCCGACCGAAGGCGTGATGGCAATAGAACCCGCATCAGTATGGAAATGCCAGGAGTTTAATCCTCCTCTTTCTGTCAAACAAAATAAAGTTATGCAGTCATGACCGGAATACAACATATGGTAAAAGGTTGGTGCCCATAGAAGTTGATAGTCGAGGTAGGACCCGTGCAGCTTTTCTTATAGATTCGGCTTTACTCCGCCTGTCTTCCTTTTGATCATCCTGCATATTTTGTTTCACAATGAACTGGGACACACCATTGTAAATTTCATATTATGTGTTTGAATATTCTCCAGAGTTCAAAGGTATCCTTTATGACACAGAGCTTGAAGTCCAAATAAGAGAGGCATTTTTGTTTTGATTTGATTATATATCGCTGAATATACTAAAAAGGCATCCCCATGTATCTGTAGGTAAGATCTGTAGATGGTTGTTTTCATGGTTCTGCTACACTTGTATCAATATATTACACTTAATCACGTACAGGAAAAGGCAAGCTGTTTGCTTTTTGTTGGTCATCTAGTCTTCTATACTCTCATAGTGTTGTTTTTATTGATTAATTGAGATTGAGATTTGTATTCTCTGGATCTTCCTTTAAGAGGAGGAAACCCTTGCTTCTTGTAGCATTGTAATTTCTCTTATTTGTTAATGAAAGCGTCCCTTTTCTATTGTTTTCTATGCTCAAATTGATAATGTTGTATTTGAAGCCTTGTGCTCTGTTCTTGTGTTCACTGTCACTAAGTTGAGCTGCGAAACTCAGCTAACTGTTTGTAATAACGATGGGAAATTTCTGGTTTTATATTCGGTCGAGAATCAATCTTTTTCGGTGATCTCTTATCTTAGTTTGTTGTTAGTAGGAGAAAAGTTTCTATACCAGAGATATAACCACGTTATCAACTTGTCGAGAATAAGTCATTTTAGCATATTTTATCATCACCTACGTGCTCATTTAGATATATATAGTTCCAATATATTCAAAACTTAATTGTTGCTTCGCTTTTGGAATATATTAGAGCATAGATATCACTCAATTTGTTTTAATGGACAAATATAGTAATCATCAAGATTATATGAAACCAAACAAAAATATTCCTTCCGTTCCAACCGAGCAAACGAATACAAAATGGGTGACACCATTCTACCCTGACAAAGAGACCCACGCCCAGCTTTGGGTCTATTATCTCGATCATGATTTTTCTATCTTCAAAGGGAAGGAATTTGAATCGACACTACGGTTCCTAGCCACGATACTCTCAGCCCAGAGTAAAAATAATAATAAAAGGAAAAGAAATACTCTCAGCCCCGGAGTAAAAATAATAATAAAAGGAAAAAAAAAAAAAGAATCAAGACAAGATCCACATGAAGATTGCACCCCAAAGAGCAAGAGAAAGGGCAGCGACCAAATAGGTCCAAAGCATAATAACAGAGCATTCCTCTTGACCAACACCGAACAACTGAGTCATTGTGCTAATGGACATAGCCGGCGGCGTGGTGTACTGAACCATCAACATGAAGTGGTAAAGAGGATCCGCCGCCAAACAGCCCAATGTGTCGGCCGCCTTCACAACCAAAACCCCAATTGCCGGCAGCGCAAAGTACCGAACCGCAATCACTCCGACAATGGTCTTAGGCTTCACCTTCGACGACCTTAGCCCTTGAGTCAGGTTACCGCCCATTATCAGAGTGGTGCAAGGAATCGTCCCATTTCTGCACACAACACACAACACTCAACCCTTTAGAACACTCTCCAATTTCATCCTTTAAAACACAAAGACTCAGCCATTTACCCGAGCAGTTGAACAGAATCTTGGAGTACTCGAAATGGAGCATTGTCCCCAACAACCAGGTTTCTAAGCCACCACACCGCTCCAAAGATGAATCCCACAAGCTATTCATAATCATTTCTTCATATCATTTTCGGCATTCATAATCATCTCTATAAACAACAATGGATACTCATTACTTACGGCTCCTAATGATGGAGGGGTCATCGACTCTTGAACAATGCGGCGCAAAAAGTCTAGCGTTTTAGCCCAAATGGACGACGTTGATGATTCCCGTTTCTCTAAGCTGCCCTCTACTTCTTGGGATTCAATCTGCAACTAAAATCTGTTAAAATATTATATAAAAATTTAGACATTTTAGAAACAAATTTTAAAAATAAATGGTCTGGCCTCTCAGTAAATAAAATACCCTTCGACCTATTTCTGTTTTCATCCCAACAAATACAAGTTGTTCTCTGTAAAGTGTTAATGTGAGTGTTTTCCACGTAGAATTACGTTCAGCAACATAGCATCAGAGTCATGCTCTTAACTTAGTCATGCTAATAGAATCCTCAAGTGTTAGAACAAAGAAGTTGGGACCCTCGGAAAGTGTAGTCAAAAGTGACTCATGTGTCGAACAAAGGGTGTACTTTGTTCGAGAGCTCTAAAGAAAGGAGTCGAGCTTCAATTAAGGGGAGACTGTTCAAGAACGCTTCATAGGCCTTAGGGGAGGCTCTATGGTGTACTTTGTTCGAGAAAATGATTGTTGGGAGGGAGTCTCACGTCGGTTAATTTAGGGAATGATCATTGAGTAACGAATACATCTCCATTCGTATGAGGTCTTTTGGGAAATCCCAAAGCAAAACCACGAGAGTTTAGGGAAACCACCCTAAGGGGTTACCTCTTGGAAGGCCTTGCTTGATGGGAGTGAAACAGGGCCATTTTGTTCAGGGAGAAGGCGAGCTTGCAGGTCGCCAATGGAGGCGTGGCTGGGTGATATCAACTGCTCCTCCAAGGCTTTCAATCGCAAGGAGGAGGTCTTCACAAGATGGTAAGTATAAGTCCATTGGCAAAACCCACTTAGCTGAAAGTTCACCAATTCAAGATATTAGATTAAACAGAAAAGAACCCAAATTTGTACTGAATCACCCAAGTTAAAACTGGATAGGTTAATAACTACCGCCATGGAAAAGGATGCATAAGAGAGTCCAAGAGAAGAACAGGTATCATGGTCGCCAAAAGGGGTGCCATTTTCATCACAAATAGCAGGGATAATGATGAGAAGAAGGTATCCCAAGTTGCCTAAACAATCATACACTCACCCGTGTTAAATCACTACAGTATATAGACATTGTTTTCTTTAGACTTTCCCTCTCGAACTTCCGCTAAAGGTTTTAAAACGCGCTGGTATAGAGAGGTTTCCACTCTATTATAAGCAATGTTTGGTTCTCCTCTCCAACCAATATGGGATCTCACAATCCACCCTCTTAGGGGTCAGCGTCCTCGCTAGCACACCGCCCAATGTCTGACTCTAATACTATTTGTAATCACCCAAGCCCACCGCAAACAGATATTATCCTCTTAGGGGTCAGCTTCCCCTCGCATTTTTAAAACGCGTTTTATAGAGAGAGGTTTCCACACTCTTATAAGTCATGCTTAGTTTACCTCTTCAACCGAGGTGGGATCTACATAAAGAACCTAAAAGTTTAAGCTCGAATAAAGTAGAGCGGAAGGAAGAAAACGAACCAGTAGAAGAGGCAGCCATGACAAGGCCTTCAAGATACGGGTTGGGTTTGAGAAGCTTAATAAGTATCCAACCCAAAACCCATCCAAACAGGAAGGTAAGAGCAATGTTGACAGGCATGAACCACCTATAACTCACCAAATCAACAACACAAAATAAACAAAGCATTGAAATCAGAGGCTATACCATGAAACAATGTCCTGAAAAGTGACTGTTTGGGCCAAATTTGCGAACATGAGACAAGGAGTGAACACAGCGAAGACGATCTGCACAAACAAACAAAAACCTACTACGATTAAGAGATGGAAGCGCAAGATTATTATGAAAAAATGGGAAGAATACCTTGTTTATTATGAAAAAATGGGAAGAATACCTTGTTGAGAGAGGCTCGAGCCTGGGCCGGAAGAAGATTGGAGTAATCAGTGGCCAAAAATGCCCCCACTAAGCACATCAGAAGGACCTGCAAATTGGGAATGAACGCCACTTCCAATAATGACAACAAACCCATGAGTTTTACAAATCGGAGGTCGGAAATGGAACGCACTATATAATATGTATAAGAGGGAGAAGGATAGAGCCTTCCTGGGTACGAGACAACGGATTGTCAATAGTCTTTCAAGTAAATCTTATTAGAGATATATTAAAAATTTGACTCCGACCTTCTTTCTTCTCCTGTGAAGGCATCAGCTACTCGTGATTGGTTGAGTTCGGGGACCATGTGCACGGAAAAGGCAAACTTCTTTGGGTTCCATGAAGAGCCAAATATCTTGTAGCCTAACAAACCACAACTTAAAACTCAAATTTGCTTATTTTGTTATGGTCTGTTTTGTTGGGACAGAAACTTGGTCTCTCTCAATTTCTGTAACAGCCCAACAATATCTACCCATGTCCCTTTTTGCTTTGCATTTTATATATTGTCATCAGCCGACTTTTATTGAGATTTTTACATTCTTACTACATTCTTACTGCATTCTTACTGCATTCTTACTGCCTGCCTGCTCAATCGAAATAGGATCTCACATATAGAAGAAGGGTAACAAATCTGGTTAAATACACTAAATATTAATAATTATACAAATTTAAGATTTAATCGGCTGAAACTGAAATTTTAAAATTAAAACTCATATAATCACTCAATTTAATTTAGAGTTAAAATTATTTTTTTCCCCAAAAAAATAATCTCACGCACCTGTTAAGGGCAGGTTTGTAATTATGATTCCAATTGCATTTGGGCCCACCTTTCCCTTTCTTTTTCTTATTTTTTAAAATCTCCCCCAAATAAATATATATGTATTTATAAATTAATTATATACCTACGTCATCCACTACATCATCACCTTAACAAGTTTCTTCTAATTTGAAGTTAAAAAATTAGTTTATATATTGTTCCAATTTAAACTCCACAGAATCTATTTAGCCTTTTAATAAAAATTTCCTTTTAAAATCATTAATGTTTACGTGGACGTATTGATTTAAATATAATTTAAATTATAGAAAAATACATGATTTAGATACAAAATATGTACATGATTTAGATACATGATTTAGAGTGAGGAGAAGTCTAAAAGTGAAAGCTCAACGAGGACAATATCTGCTACCGATGGACTTAGGGCATTACAAATGGTATAGAGTCAGACACTAAACGATGTGCCAACGAGGAGGTTGAGCCTTGAAGTGGGGTGGACATGAGGAAGTGTGTCAGCAAGGACGCTAACAGAAGGGTATGAGTGCCAATGATAACGTTAGGTCCTACAGGGGGATCCCACATTAATTGGAGAAGGGAGAAGTGCCAACGAGGACGTTGGGTCCCACATCGGTTGAGATATATAGAGTTTGAGTGACACTTGGAATGAATTTTATTGAGAGACTTTGTAGTGTATGAGTGAGATATACACTTTGTAAACACTCTATTATTAAGATTTGTTGCTATCAGTGGATGTAGAGAAATTTCTTCTATCCCAACCACATAAATTTTTGTCTATTTGTTTAATTTCTATTTATGGATACGTGTGTGCAGTCGATCTTGCTTCCGCTTCCGTTATAATAATTGGTATAGAGAATTTTGATTATAGTATTCGTAGCTATAAGAATTAGTACCGGAGCATTTTGGTTGTGGTATTAGGAAACCAACACATAAATTGTTGAAGTTTGTGCATAGTGATAGGAAGAAGAAAGGAGATCAAGACAAGAGCCACATGATGAGTGCAGACCAAAGAGCAAGAGAAAGAGCTGCAGCCAAATAGGACCAAAGCAGAATAACCGAGCACTCCTCTTGACCAACGCCGAACAGCTGAGTCATTGTGCTAATGGACATCGCCGGCGGCGTCGCGTACTGAATCATCAACAAGAACTGGTAAAGAGGATCCGCCGCCAAAAATCCTAACCTGTCCGCCGCTTTCACAACCAAAACTCCAATCGCCGGCAGCGCAAAGTACCGAACCGCAATCACGCCGAGGATCGTCGTTGCCTTCACCTTTGACGATCGCAGCCCTTGAATCAGGTTCCCGCCTAGTATTAGAGTCGTGCACGGGATCGCCCCATTTCTTCCCATAACATTTACGCTAAATTAATAAAAATATTCATTAACTTTCTATTTGTTGTAAAAAATATTTACCCGAGTAGTATAGCAGCGGCTTCGATGGCTCGAAATGGAGCATTGTCTCCAACTACGAGATGTCTAAGCCATGCCACCGCTCCGAAAATGAATCCGACCATCTAATCATAACCATACATGTTAGTTAATTCGTTTCTCTTATATCATTTTTGGTATTCATAATTCACTACTCACCGCTCCTAATGTTGGAGGAGCCATCAACTCTTGAATAAGAATCCACAAAAACGTTACCGTTTTAGCCCAAACGGATGATGCTTCTTGTTTCTCTAAATTGCCAACGGCTTCTTGCGATTCAACCTAAAAGCTAAAGTGTTAAAATATCATTACTAGCTCGATATGATCAACTCCAATGATTATATAAGTCTATTGGCTATATATTTTAAGATAATGATTTAAATATTTTAGGAATAAAGAGAGTATACAGAGAGTTAGGCACACAGCTACAAAACGCAAACAATTGGTGCATATTTGAAACGGAGAACCTGTTCGAGGGTCTTGGTTGATGAGACTGAAGCAAGAAGAAGGTGAGCTTGTTCTCCATTTTGATCACTGAGAAGGTGGGTTTGCAGGTCACCATTGGAGCCGTGGTCGGGTGCTTTGAACTGCTCAAGTGCTTTCAGTCGCAAGGAGGAGGTTTTGACAAGGTGGTAGGTAGAAGTCCAGAGGTAAAACCCACCTAGCTGAAAGCTCACCTAATGATTAGGGCACTCTGATACCATGTTAAAAAAATAAAATTTAAACCGCAGATTGATTATTTACCGCGTTGGAAAAGGAAGCATAAGAGAGACCAAGAGAAGTGCAGGTGTCGTGGTCGCCGAAAGGGTTGCCATGCTCACTGCAGATAGCAGGGATGATGATGAGGAGAAGGTTTCCCAAGTTACCTAACACCAACAACACAAATGAAGTGAATAATCATCTTATTAATGTCGGTGGAAAAGAGATTACAAGACACTCCATAGAAACTACTGAGCTCATATAATTATTGGAGTTGACCCTATTCGACTGATGATAATGGTATTTAAAGAAGTAATGAACGAGAAGCAACCTGCAGAAGAGGCAGCAATGACGAGGCCTTCAAGAGATGGGTCGGGTCTCAAGATTTGAACAACTATCCATCCCAAAATTCCTCCAATTAGGAAGTTTAGACCAATGTTGATTGGCATGAACCACCTGCAATTCATTTCTTACATATATAATGACACTAATTAACATTGAATTAGCTTCAACAACAAAAGAAAAAGGACTGTTTACCATGAAACAATGTCTTCAAATGTCACTGTTTTCACCAAATTTGAGAACATAAGACAAGGAGTGAAAACAGTAAACACAATCTGCCAAACTCATCAAAAAAAAAAAAAAAAAAAAAAAAAAAAAAAAAAAAAAAAAAAAAAAAAAAAAA